CCATATCCATGGAATGTGTACAGAAAGGTGGTGATATCCACATTAAAGTAAAATCGGACACTGAGTATCGTGAAGTCACGAGATACCTAGACGAAAAGGAAATTCCTTACCATACCTTCCCTCTCCCTCAGGATAAACCGATAAGAGTTGTAATCAAAAAATTATCTGTTCACACCAAACCCGAGGACATTATGGAAGAACTAATAGATAATAACATCCCGGTTAAAACAGTAAGACAAGTTACCAAGAAAATAGACAATGAAATTGTCAAACTACCCACTTTCATGGTTGAAGTCAAACGCAGCATAGAAGGCAAGAAAATATACAACATAACGCATATTCTAGATTTGGCTGTTAAAATTACTCCCTTCAGACCCACTCCAGGACACAAACAGTGTCACCACTGTCAGAGGTATGGCCACAGTCGTGCTCACTGTAAGCACAAGCCCAGGTGTTTAAAATGCGGGCAAAACCATATTACTACTACATGCACAAAAGACAGAAACTTACCCGGCAAATGTTGCCTCTGCGGAGGCCCCCACATTAGTTCGTACCGTGGTTGCGAAATGCATCCGGATAACTTGAAAAGAAAAATTGCAGAAAAAGAATTCTCTCTTCTCTCTTCAAGAAAAAGAATTAAAAGCGCAGTGGCTCAAGGAAGCGTTCTGGGACCGCTTCTGTTTAATATCTACACGAATGATATGCCTGTTCCTTTGAATGCAAAAATAGTGAAATATGCCGACGACACAGCAATTTTAACCAAGTCGCTAAAACCTCAGTTCGCTGTAGATAAACTTGAAAGCGCAGTAAATATCATAGCACATTATTATGATTCATGGAAATTAAAAGTAAATCGGTCAAAGAGCCAAATTCTCCTTTTAGACGTCATCGGAAGTTCACTCCTGTGAATGTAAATATAAAAATTAATGATCAAGCCCTAAACAATTGTTTCAAACACCAAGTATCTAGGAAGTGGTCTTCGACTCACAGCTGTTATTCAAAGAACACACGGAGTATGCCTTGCGCAAAGCCACCGCTGCTAAAATGTCTCTTTACCCTTTAATAAGAAGAAATGCTAAATTAAATATCAGTCTCAAGAAGAAGATCTATACCAGCTTAATAACGACCCACCCTACTTTATGCAGTGTCTATCTGGGCCACTGTGTACAAGACTTATAGACACACAAACTACAGGTCTTTCAGAACAAAATACTCAGACAAATTGTTGACTCCCCATGGTTCGTACGTAACCTGCAGATACATAAAGAACTAAAAATAAGACCCATAGCTGATCAAATTCTCACCACGAGCCACAATTTCTATGCTAAAATAGAACTTTCTCAATACGAACATATCCGTGATCTGATAAATTATGATCCTACTATAGAAATTGCAGCAAAGCGCCCAAGAGGCATCTTCCATAACAGCAAATGGTGAAATGTGTATATATTGTACATAGTACTATTATCTTTATTTTATCTTCATTGTGTCATTTTACCAGTGTCTTTGAAACTTTATAGACTTATGGACATGATCCGTGTACCTGGATCTTCAAAGCACTGATCTTATATTTGTCATTTTCGTAATCTTCTTATTGTTATATCAGAGACTTTGTAATATTGTGGACTTATGGACATGATCCGTGTACCTGGATCTTCAAAGCTCTGATTATTTATTGCTAGTGTAAAATGTTTTTCACCATTTGCTACTTCGCTCAAATACCGCCGTCCCTATATGTACATAGTGTATAGTTTCAGTAACTCATGTGCCTCAGTGTTGTACAAGAACTTTAGTGTTTAATTTCTCAGACCAAGACTTCACTGAATTGTGATATCTACTATTTCAAGATGCATTGGCTGTGGACAGTTCACGGGAGGGTGACCCCCACGTGACTACCACTGTCCAATCTGTGTTTTACAGCAAGGATGAATTTGAATATTTTGTTTAGCTAATCTGTTGCACTTAGTTGTGCCATTTGTCTTCATTTAGATCGCGATATTAGTTTAATTATTCCAATCTGGATAACCTGTTTCAAAACTTGATAATTATTAATATATCCAATATTTCTCATTGCACGCGTAAGCTGCTTTGCTCGGAGTCTGAACTTGGGTGGGTGACCACCCACGTGACAGCTCCTGCCAATCATCTACCTCCACTCCACCTACACTTCACAAAATTTGACAAGTTTCGCCTAGTTGACGTGGCGTAAATCGCCTTAATTAAAAACTTAAGTACCAACGCCTTAATGCAATTTACCAACAGAGACGGTTAAAATAGCGGTTGGCCTAGCCATTGACTCGATTTCGATTTCAGTTCAACTGACTGGCGGCAGCTGCTATTTAGAGGGTTGTTAAAAGGCAACAATAAACTATTCTGGAGACCTCAAAAGTCACCAGCAGTCTTTGAAAATGCCTTTTCCAGAAACTCCTCGAATGTCGTCAAGTCATGAGTAAGCGTCCAATGTCGCTAAGGTTCGATAGGAAGTTTGAACCTACATCACTGATTCTACTTGAGCTATGTTTACAATTCTAAGTTCAACTGAATCAGAATTAAAAAGAAATACAAAATACATTCAAAACAAATTTAAACAAAATTGAGCAATAGGTAAACAAACGGTTACAACGCAAAATACCCTAAATATACAAACAGGACCCAGAACATGAAATACCAAAATTCATGAAGCCAAATTTATATTCAAATAATTAAATGCATTTACAGCAGTACACCTAGAACACAAACAAGATAAATAAAATAATAAAACTGAAAGATTTCAGCTTCCATATCACGCATAAACGGACTTTTCTTTCATTTACACACGTTTCAAGAGCATTTGGGCTAGCGCCCTTTTGGGCTAAAAATATTTAAAAATAGCATATCTTTAGAAATTCCGATAGACAATATCGCAGACTATAGATAAAATATTTTATTCCGTGCAATGCATTGCCACTGCTCGCTATGGAATCGTTGACTTTCTTAATAAAAAATTCGTTAAAGTTTAAAAAATATGAAATAGATAATAAAACAAATTCGAAATTCAAACTTCGAGCTTCCAGTTACCCACTTTCCGTCGCAGGACTACATTATTCAAAATTTGATGGCTCTAGGTATAGTTGTTTTTTCAAAATGCGAGAAAATTACATGCACTCATGCAGATACTTCAATGTTTCATTTTTTTAAATATAATACAGGGCTATAATATTTGGTGGCAACAATTTGAAAAGTGATTCAGCCATTTATGGTGATTCGACGCAAAATCCCATTTCGAGATTAATAGCTCTTCTGAGCGAGCGCCCTTTGGGCTAATAATAAGGTTAATATAAAAATTTTGAATTAAAAAACTGTGATAAAAATGGAAATGGAAATCATATTGTTGCGTTCTATGGCTCCGTGGATTTGGAGTGATGGACGACAACACTTGATGAAGAATCAAAACACAATTTATTCGTCAGTATGACACAGGACAGTTCCAGAAACGCGTTATAGTCGCCAAAAAACTATGGCAAACACGCTGAAATAATCAGCAATACAGCCTTCAGCCTGTCGGGCTATAACGATGAAGATAGCTTCACGTGAAAGCACTAAAGTACAGCTCCCGACTCGGTCGATCGCTCTCGATCTAATCTCTGAACTCAAGACACTATTACTGAACTCAGCATAATCCAAATACTCAATATACTCTCGATACTCCACGTACAGGGAGGGTACATACAGCTTTTGATTTGCCTTCGAGAACATTCTCGACAAGACCGGTAAGAATCCGTTCTAGAGTATTCTCGCTCCGTCTATGGCATATTGCCAATTTTTCTCCAAATATCGTCTAATGCAAGATTTCACGCCAAATCTGGCAACCTTGTATTTCCTTGCCACTTTCTGGCAACCCTAACCCCGCTTTGCGATGAAGCTATCTTACCGCAGCTGGGAATTTCTTAACAATATAAGTGAAATAGAAATTAGTGTTGAAGTGTCTTCTTTTCATTCAAAGATATCTTTTTCAGACTTAAAAAAGACTTTTCCAAGTGGTCCTAATATAGGATCTAATTCCTTTGAAAATTCCAAAATCATATCTGTGGCTTAAAGTGAAGGCTTCTCCAAATTGCGTACAAGACATTCCAATTATCTTCTACATTGTAAAAATTCACTGCTTATCAATCTAGCAATATGAATAATATATTAATAAGCAGTAATAATATAAACTAAATAATATAAATGATGTGAAAACAATGTCTATGTAATTAGTCTACATATTTAACAATGTCTATGTAAAAATAATATGAAATAATATTTTGGGACAGTGTCACTAGCTTTAGAAACATTGGCATAAACAAGGGAAGTTCCTTCTAAGTCAATTATTATGCGCATCTCCTGCAGAATACTTCCTCAGCTTTTTGAATTCAAATGTATTATATTCTTTTTTTGAATATTAATACTTACTAATGCAACACATTTAGTGATTCAGTATTATTATTGATATTTATAATGCAGTTTGTGAACGAAACCGCAGTTTGTAAAAGTCATACATTATGTACGCCTGCTTAAAAGATTTCTCTTTTACGCTTTAAATTTACAGAGTTAAACCAGTGTTATAACTCATAATTTAAATAAATGTAGTTCTAAATTTTAATAGAAGAGTTATATTTTTTAGATGTATTCAACTAAAATATATTTATTCGGGAAGAAAGGTTTTTCTAGTGAAACATTGTTCCATGTGTTAATATCAAAAGCCGGTACATTAAGGACTGCGATTTTATGCATATGTTTTAAGTAATAACTAAAAATACCTGACTGTGTTTTTTATAAATTTAAAATTAGTTTATTAAATTCTAACTATTCAACACATTTGCTACCGTATTAGCATTAAATCTTGTGGCAATGATTTCAACTAAATTTTATAAACCTCAAATATTAAAGCTATCTGAATTTTAGCATTCTTTCATTTGCATATTTGATGTATTTAAAATGGCAACACCAATCTCTTAATGCGTATTCCACAAAAAGTAAATGTTCACATACGCAAAATATTGCTCATTGATAACTTCTTCGCTACTCTTTATAAATATTTTTACTTGTTTTATAATTTCTGTTAGATAATTTGGCAATTGTTTCAAAAATGACATTAGACTACTTCCGAAACTGGCAATTTCTCGGCATTATGCTGAAAGTTATCACGGAAATTCGAATTGTTTTATTTGAAACTGCGAGGGACATATATTACTGCGAGAATTTCGAAAGCTTAATGACCAAACACTTTAGGCGGTGCTCACGTTCTAGAATTTATTATATATACGTGATACTTCAGTAACGCGGTTCATAACGCGTACGGAAAAATATATTTTTAATAAAATTGCGTGTAAAAGTTTTGATCAGCGATTCATAGCAGCATAAATCTGTTTACTATCACTTTCCAGTAATTCATACTACAGAATTTTAATAATCTGACATGGCACAATATGAATTTGCAAGACTATTGGACAAGTAAGACTTTAAATGTATTTATAGATATGTTTGTACTTTTAATGTTTTTAAATGACTATTTAAGTGACAATTTTATGCTTTCGTCTGCCATGCAGATTTATGAATGTTTTTAATTCAATAACGCAGTTTCAACTATTAATTCTGTAATAAATTTGAATAATAAAATACATGGAAAGAATTTAGAAAGGTAAATTAAAACAAGATTTAAAATATGTGGGCAATTATTAAAAAATAGAATAATAGTAGGGTTTTTTTTTTTTTTTTTGTTTTAAAGTGCTGTTGCGTTTGAATTGTTTTTTATTTTACCTCTTATTATAAATTTACATTTTGTTTTATTTTCTTTTCCTAGTCAGCAGAATGGTATAGATAATGAAAACTTGCAGCAGTATGTAGAAATCGGCACAAATACATATATTGGAACGAAAGACGGAATGAAGTATACTCTTGTTCAAACTCCGGATAACAAACTTAGACTATGCGAAGTTCCTAACGACTGTGAATTAAACGAAATTATTTCAAAAGAGTAAGCAAAGGATTTGTTCTTTACCGCACACCAAGATTGTCTGAAGTAAAATTATGTGGCAGTCGATGTAATTTTTAGAATAGCGTTTATCAGTAATAAGCTATTTTAATATAATTTTCTGCATAAAAATTATTTTCGTTTCTTTACAGTTTCAAAGATTCCTCTGAAATTTTAAAATCAAAATTTGTAAATTATGTAATTTTCCCAAACGAAAGCAAAACACTATTTTCGAAGTAGTAATTACAAGAAAAATCTATTTTAAAAAACACTCAAATTTTGGAATTTTCTTTCATAAGATTTAAAAATCCCAGCCATTTTAATGAATTGCAAACAAATTTTAGAAAACTCATTAATGAAATTGAAAGTGTTTTTATAAAAAAATTTCTTTTAATCTATTCAAAGCTGCATTTCTAAGAGTTTATCAAACCAAAGTGCAACTATACTAAAGTAGGTTAATAATTATGAATTTCTAAAATTTATTAAATCTTTCAAAGAAAAGAATTAAATGAATTTATAAACCATATACATTCATCAAATGCAAATATTTTGATGAATAAATTTATACATTAACATTGCTAAATTTAAAAGAAATTAAAAAGTGCTTTTATTTTGAGAAAAAATTATTCCATTTTGACAGAATATTCAGGGGAAAAAAAGAACAAATAAAAATATGTTTAATTTATTTAAAAGAGATATATGAAAAGCATTTGACACAGAGAGTAAAAATGCTGATTCATTAACTTCAAAAATAAGCAGTATACTTAATTTTAATGCATTCTTTGTATTAATATTTCATAACTATTCTTAGCTAAACTTGCGAATGTATTTCAGACTTATTTTAAATGCCAGATAAGATTACAAATTGGTGTTTACGTATTCATGCAACCATAGCAATGAATTTTAGCGATTTTTTCTAGAAAAAAAAAATAAATGACTCAAAATAAATGCACACAAAAAAATGCAAAAAAACATTTCATTTCAAATACACTTACACATATATTTTATATTTTACTTAGGTATTTAACTTAAAAATCAATCAAACTGCTTATGACCAGGGTTTTTACTTCCTTGTACGAAGTAAAAAGGAAGTATTGTAATCGCGAAAAGTTTCAGGCAGCATATTTCAACGAAAATATCCATTTTGACCGCTATCGAATGCAATTTAACGATGTTTTTGCCATATCTGTACGTAAGGACAGAAAAAATACTCTTTTCTTCAAAAAATATAAAAACTGCTTTTAAAATTAATTCTGAAGAGATTTTTCGTGACGTCGTACGAACGGACGTACGTATCTCGCATAACTCAAAAAACGAGTAGCCTCAGAAACGTTGAAATTTTATATGGACTGTTATAACATGTAGATGTGCACTCGTATTTGGGCAATCAGCCGCAATCAGTATCATTTCTCTATTACCTTATATGTTTTGTAAATTGTACATTTTTTGGCTTTTAAAAATGATTGAATTGTGTTGTTTTTATCTTCCGGTTAAGGTTTTATGCCTTTAGTAAATCTGTGTGCAATATTTTAGAATTATCAGCAATTTTAAAGTTGTTTAATTGCCGCTAAGCCTGTTTTTTAATGGCGGCCATTGATGTTTACATTTGAAACAGGAGACTAGTGGATTTGTTGCCAATCTAGAAACTAGCTTCGCAACAACAAAGATAACGTATTCATTTATTATTGCCAATTAAATCATGCTTTATTCTTCTGGAATTTTTTCGAGGAAATAAGCGTTGAGATTACTTCGTAATTTTTAATATAGTATTTTTAGTTTTTATGTATTTTTGCCTTCTCGCGAAGTGAGAACTGAATTAATTAAATGAGAAATCCTCAATCGTCTGTGAAAAACTGTTTTTGTTTGTTCTGTTTTGTTTTGTTTGTTAATTTCTTTTATACATCGTTCTAGCTTTATTATAGTATTTGATTAGAACATGTGGCAACGATTAGATAATTCTTTAAATGAGATTACATTTTGTGCATTTGAGTTATATATGAATGAAATATAACTGTTAAGTAAACCTAGTGCCAGAGTGTCGCTATGGTAAACAAAGTGAATTTTAAAGAATGCATTTATTCTATTGTAGTTTATGCGCTGTCGGCGAAGTAGGTTTAATTCAATCTAATAAGTTTAAATAAAATGCAAGAAAAAATGCGTATAATTTAATATTCCGTACAAGGAAGTCATGTGGTGTACACAGCAGATTTTTGTTTTTATTGTTGTTGTTGTTCCGGTGGAAATTTCGATCGCTGAAATATATTCAAAGCAATTGTTCTTTTTAGCGATTTTGTGGCAAAATACTGTTGTCACAAGTGTTTATTTTAAATTGAGTTTAAAGCTGAAAAGTAGCATTATTTTTCTATATAAACCGTAGGAATTTAAAATACAACAAAATAAAAGCATACAAAAATGGTGACGTTGCTTGTTAAAAACTCTAAAGAAATGATATGCGCGCGGTTGCCAGCTTTTGACATATTCTGAAAATTTAGCAAGTTTTACCAAAAGTGGTTGTGTAAATACGTAATAATTACCGAGAAATTTCAGATGATCTTTATGTGATTTTTTGAGTAATTGTTCTATATTTTACTTAGTTTTATACGGTGTCACTCATATGATTTAGTTTTATACTGTTACATGATAACTCGAATTCGAATACACGAAAATGACCACAAAATGAAACTTTAGGTTTATTAAAGTATTTGGATGTCCAACGTGAAAGGTTTGTGGAAATTCTCCGATTTATTTACTATTGGGTAGAGGTGATTCGTGGATTCTTCGATTAAATGCTGTGAGAAACAGCTTAGTTTTTACGAAAATACTACTGTTTAGGGGTACAGTTTTGTGAAAGACCTGTGACCTCTACATTTAATCTGGCAACCAATTTAAGGAATAGGTAGGTGGCTCTGAAGAAATTGCGGAAATACACAAATCTGTTTGTCCAGCGAAAAACCAATACCGTTTGGGTTCTTCGACAACAGTGGATATGTGACAGGTTATACCGGGTGAGCGCTTCCTTGTCCAACTCCCGAATAGAAAGGCAACCATACTCGTGGCCAAAATTCATGGATCACATAGTAGAGGGAAAGATGATTTATTCAGACCGTTGAATAGGATTCAAAACAAGGGAATTAGGAAAGGAGGGTAGGTTCCCTTCATTGTGAATCATATATTCCATTTTGTGGATCTGGAAACGGTTGCTCGTGCCACAGAATGTTGAAAAACCTTGGTGCTGAATGGCGAACTAGAAAAGTAACCAATAATGGTTTGTTATCATCTTGAGTACTGTCTGGTGGATTCCATGTGGAAGTTCTTACGACAAGAAAATGCTTTTATATCATACGAAAAGTAATCGCAGAAATACGACAGCCAGGAATTTTACGTGCAAGTTAACTAGAACTTAGCGATAATCTTGGTGCCATTATGATGGGGCCGTAAAAGTGAGGAAGTGCCGATCTTCATATTCCTATGCATTTTCTGCAGTGAAAAATGTTATTAGCTAAATCATTTTCTGAGGTTTCATCATTATTTTCTGAAGTTAAGAAATGCATCTAAATGTCTAATAAGTATGTTTTATATTTAGATCATGCCTTACACCAGATGAAAGACGGCACGAGGATGATAGCACTATGACCTTTACAGGAAAAGCTATAAAAGTAATTATTTTAAAGTTTTTCATCTACACATCCCACACGAGTCAATAAATTCCAATTACTTGAAAAAGAAACAATAACGTAATCATTCAGTTGCCAAACAAAGTTTCATTATTAAAATTTAAATAAAATAATAATGTTGATAAATATCATGCAACAATAATATTTTATAGCAGTGATTTTAAATATACTAATAAAACCTAGAACACTAAAATTAAAATTAGAGTAGCCTAAAATAAAAGTACTAGAATTTTAAAATTCAAGAACGTTTAAGGCGTACCAACGGTGAACAGTTACCAACTGCTGAACCGCTGAACACTATCAACGCGAAACCGCTGAACACTGGAAATTTCGACCTGGGCGAACGTTGGATCCATGGACGCTTTCGGGATTTTTTCCAAATGCAATTTGTATACAATCCAGTTCCCTTCGAAAGTCCTCCACGAAGGTATCCCTTCCTTTAGACAGATAGCCCTAGTGTGCTTTGTCATAACCAACTAAATCTTAATTCGCCGTTAAAATTATCAAATAAAGAAAAATCCCAATCCTATTTAGATAACCATAAATTGTTATTGAAAATGAAATGTTCGAATAAGTTTTTCAGCCCAAAGGGCGTTAGCCCAAAAGGGTTATTAATTTCGTTTTGGCATTTTGTGGCGTTTCACTATAAACGGCTATTCACTTTTCAACTTGTTGCAACCAAATATTATCGCCCTGTATTATACTATTTCAAGGAATTAAATAATGAAGAATCTGAACAAATGTATGCATGTTTCTCGCGTAGTGAAAAAACAACGGTACCTAGAGCCCTCAAATTTTGAATAACGTACGTTTGCATCCGAATATGTGCAACTGGAAGCCCAAATTTGGAATTTGGAGAGTATTTTATTATGCATTTCATATTTTGTAAACATTTATGAGTTTTTTATTAAGAAACTCAACGGTTTCACAGCGAGCAATGGCAACTCTGTACGGGAAGAAAAACAGTTTTATCTCCAGCGCGCGATTTAAATTCTAAAGATATGTTCTTCTTAAAATATTTTGTGATATTGCTGTTGAACTGACTTTTATGGCTTAAGTGCGAAGAAAATGATAGTTAATAAATAAAGGTAACACACAAAACGTTAAAAATGCCTCTTTGGGCGTAATATAAAATCTGAAAACTTTCAGATTTTTAAAAAATAATATAGTCGTAAGTTCTATATTATGTGTTTCCAACATTCCACTAAACTATTCTAATTGACATATACAATTTCTGGCTATCAAAATTAAGCAATTTTTCTTTTATGTAATAAATTGAAACTATCTGAAACATTTGTTCTATAATTGTCGATAATTTTAACATGATATTTTCCTATAGAATGATTTATAAACCTATACAAAGTGTAAAAGAAATTTCCTTTCAGGTATTCAAATTTTAACTTTTTTCCGTTATTATATGTGTTGTTAAATACTTTTCCTGATCGAACAATATTTAAATAAGGGTATTTTCTTTATAAAAACAGTTGCAAATCTTTGCGTATTCTTCAACAGCCTATTTTGATATAATGTCAATTTTATGGCAACATAGGTTTTTACTCTGTTTTGCATATATATTTTTGACGGTACATAAAAAGATATTTTATTAATCCAAAGTCTTCGTTAACTGCGATGTCTGTATCTCCAATTCATCTCTTTTAAATGTTCTCATGTGAAAAATAATTATAGGAGCACTAATTACTCGGATTTTATGATTCCAAAAATATTAGTTCTGTAAGAAGTCTTTTCCAAATAATAATTTCAAATATCACTGGGTATTTTGATAAAACAATCTATATTAATTTTTCTAATTACTTTTTTATTAAGAACTACATGCAGACTGATTTACACCAATAACCATTACCAAGGTATTAAATGTATACGATTTTCAAATTAGTTCAGAAAAATTATTAATTACTCTTTTTCTTCAATTACACTCAGGAAGCCGGTCTAGTCCCATAAATTCGTTAAAGTGCCCTTGAAAAATATTTTCAAGCAACTAGCTTTATAACAAACTAGCTTTCGTAGTGCTCTTGAAAAATATTTTCAAGGACACTACGAAAGCTAGTTTGTTTTTGAATACTCTATGACACACAGACTATCCTTAAAACAATCTATTTACATGTCTCATTAAATATAATTTTTCGATCTGATTCTTTTTACTTCTTTTACGAAGTAAAAGGAAGGGTAGGGTACTACTTTGGTAGACGGGCTGCACGGATTTTTGGTGATTTACGTTGGCGCAATTTGTTGGCGATGTTTGCAATCTTTCAGCCATCTTGCAAAGTTTTTACGCAATTAAAGTATTCGAAACTTAAAAAAATAAATATCATAAAAAGTAAAGGATTTTTTTGTTGAAAATGTCGTTTTTTAAGATGGCATGCATAATTTATTAGCAATTTTACTAAAGTAAAATTACTTTCATATAGCAAAAAAAATAAGAATAAAAACACGCTATAAAAACATTGTGCCAACGTTTAATTAGATTAAAATATTACTGAAATTTGAATATCGAATTAAAAACCATCATACCAACATTTAAAACGAATTAGAATATTGTTACGAATTTTGGTATTTAAAAAGCTAATGTAGTTTCAATTATAAATTAAATGGTTTTTTCTCGCGCAGTGCAGCGCGTGGACGAATATTAAAAGAAAGCTAAGCCAGAAAATTGAAATACAGGAGCGCGTGCATTAAATAAATGAATATCTCGTTTTGATTTTCGAGAAAGTACTGGAAAATTTCTAGCGCGTGATTTTAAAATCTTATAAAAGGAGGAAAATATCTCAGTTTGTAGTAGTTGCTTAGTTGTGTGTGTTTAGAAAACTGATCTTGTTGATTGTAGCGATTGCGATTAGCGTTCTTTAGCTGTTTGTTTTTTTCGTGGACATTTGAGTAGTTAAAAGATAACTACTGTGAGATATTGTAATACTGCATGATAATTTGAGAAAATTTATAGCATTTTTTTTGTTGTAATAAATAAATTTTTTGTCCTTTTTCATCGGACTTGGTGCATTCATTTCATAACGAACCCGTACGCACGAATTTTGTGGTGCAGAAGTGGGATTTGAATGCCAATAACAAGAGCGATGGAAGAGCAATATTAAGGCAGTTAATATCAGCCTTTGCCTCATTTAAAGAAGAAAATTAAAGAGGAAATGAAATTGGGACAGGAATACGTTAAGGAAGAAGGAATTTGGGCCCGAATCCGTTAAGGAAAGAAATGAAATTGGGCCAATAATTTTTAAAGGAGAGATGAGATCCGTTAAAGGAATTAAGCTTTCACGAAAATGAAGCTGGTCAAGTAACTTTTTAAAGAAGTCTAAAAGCGTACAAGAAAAGATTGAAGCAGGTCCAGACGAAATGAAAAGAGAAATAACCTGCATTGGAGAAGAAATAAATTTGAGGCTATGGAAGACAGAATAGGAGCTCTCGAAAATAAGTCGGGCAAATTGAAGAAAAGGTTCTCTTTTCAAGATGAAATAGAAGATAGCGGTCGGCTGTGCGCGACGAGTCGAAGGAAGACGGTCCAAATTGAGAAGAGTTTTTGCCGTCCCAAGGACATACAACAAAAATCGTAAGAAAGAATTTCCTCTGTCGCGCCAAAATGAAGTTGACACAAAGAAAGTTTCGTAGGACTGTAGGATGGTTTTAAATTTCACCCATGCCTGCTCGTCCCTCTCTGAGCTATCGACATATATGGGAAGACCTCCTGGCACGTGTATAAGACACAATTTTTTCTCGTGCGGAGGGCGAATGATGGGATTCCCAAGCTAAGCCTGTCATCTCGCCGCTTCTTTAAGAGCCGACGCATCGATATCCTTCAGACTCTTCCGAAACAAAAGGTTAGATTTCGAAGCTCTGTCCGGCGCCTTGGAGCTGCGTTCGGGGGAGAATGTTTTAAAAGACTACAGCAGGCTCCATTAAATCCCGTCAACGTAAGCTCACCGAAACACTTCAGGAGCTCGCCACGGGTTGAAAAGCTGTCACATCACGCCTTTCGGAGTGCCCGACAAAACAAGGGAATCCTGTCCCTGCAATATTTCATCGATGGCATCCGGGACCTTGAAATACAGAAGCACTGCGAATGGCGGATGTTAAGATATCTGAAAAGCGCTTATTTACGCCATGAAATTCGAGGCAGCCCAGCAAGCCCACCCGTCGAGAGACCGCCATCCAGTCAGAGCTGCTCAAGTCCAGGAGCCAGGGGTTCAAGTCACTGCTCGTCTAGACGATTTAACTAGACAACTGAATGCCTTGAGACGGAATATTGGTGACAAGAAGCCGACCGTAAAGTGCTGGAACTGCGGTGCTGAAGGACACATACGACGAAACTGCAGAACACCCCAGGGTTCGGATGTTAAAACCGCTCCTAACAAACAGCAGGGAAACTAATTAGTGGCCATCTCGCGGGGCGGAGGTTGCCAGATAATGAAAAGCCCCAGTTTAAAGCGCTTCAGATTCGGCAGTAATGGACTTTTCATACTAGGACATATTAATAGAGTTCCCTGCAATATGATGATAGATACAGGAGCCAACGTTACCATCATCCGAAAAGAGATTTGGCTGGCTGAACAACTGGGAACAAACTTATCTAGACGCCGCCCTGCGTTACCCTCCATACTGTGTGTCCGGTGTGAGAAGATCGACATCGACATGGAAAAGTAAATGTTAACATCACGTTTGGAAGTGCCGCTTACCATCACACGGCATATGTAGCAGAGATCACTGATTCTTGCATACTCGGATTGGACTTTCTAAGGAAATACAATTTTTCCTTGGACTTTAAAAATAACGAATTGCATTCTACATCTGAGGACATAGCGTTATTGGATTTAATGATGAAGAAGTTAAATCTGTTCATAAAATCATAGCACAAGACAATATCACAATACCGGCAAAACAGAAATTTTACTTCCTGGATCCATGCCGAAAACAGAAATTTTTCCGCTACGGCATCATAGAATATCCCAATAACTGTATAT